GGAGCCCGCCCGCCAGCGCCCCTCTCCCGGCCCATCCGCCCCTTTTCGCTTAACCCTTTGAGGCCCGGGCGGGAAGCCCAAGTGGCAGAGAGGGCTCGTCCGGCGCGATCTCACCCCCGGCCCGCCCATCGTCACCCCTTGCCTTCAATTCCCTTCAAAAGACTTCTCTTTTTTTCCCACCCGCCCCGTCCCGGCGTGGGACTCCCGGGAAAGCTAGACACAAACTCCCACCACCACGCCTTGCTAGGCAGGCGGATCATGTTGGGGGGGGGGCTAACGTCAGGGGAAGTCAATGGGTGCCCCTCGGAGAGCACGTCCACACAGCAGCCGGAGGTACTGTACTAAAATCCGCGCTAGCTGCAGCTCTTGCCCCGACAGTTCGGTCGGTCTGAAGGGGCACCTCGACCGCGTGACCTGCCAGCCCGCCTGCCGTGTCTGCTGGCGAAGGGCGGTACGAGGAAACTTCAGGTTTTCTTTCTGGGGGCTGCCGTCGCAGAGGTAGGCGAGCGGGGCAGGTCTCCCAAACGGCTTCATTCCGAGGGCAGGGACGCACCGTGGTTGCCCGCCTCGCCGGCCCGCACCCTGGAGTCCTGCGCGGGCGGGTTGGAGAGATCCAGGGCGCAGGTTTTACAGGAGGGCATGGCTGGTGAAACACCAAAATCCAACAGGTGCTGATTTCCGCCAGCATGGAGATACTGCACTACTCTCAGGTGACACGCATTGCATATGGTTTTTGGTTTGAAGTGTACAAGTTATAGCTCAGGTATGTTATATTTCAGGACTTCCAACAACAGCCCTGCAAGGTAGGATGCTGTTCTCCCCTCCATTCGATGTGGAACTAAGGCATATAGACCATGGCTCAAATCCAATAATATATCACAACTAGAAAAGGCCCATTGAATCAATGGAATTTACCGGGGAATGGACTCGCCAAATCTCCAGTGATTCAATGGCCTTACTCTAGTTGCAGGTTACTACTGGATTTCAATCATCAATTTACTTAGCCGGCTAATTCATGTTAGAGGCAACTATTTTAAAACTGAAAAGGGAGAATTCCAGGGTTTTATCTCTGTTGCCGGGAGCTGTGCCCACTCAGCATCTTCTTTCTGAATTATAGATCTGCATCTTATATTGCTGATTTTTCTTCTCACAGCATGGATATCCTGGCTTAACATCATGGCTCAGCATCCTAGTTGTGTAAAGATTCCATCAAAGTTGGTGATGCTGTGCACACCTGGGCTAAATGGTTAGAGGAAGGTGACTGATGAGGTGTCAATTGGTCCCTTGTAATAAAGTTTAGGGTGGTGCAGGGAGGGAAAGAGCATGAATTTTTTCTGGGGGTCACATAGGCCCTTGTGGGCAGAAGCCAGTGAAGGACAAACACACTGATCCACACTGCATATTTCAATTCTCTTTCTTCTCAGTGAGTTTCTTGAGGTTTCCCCTCTCCAGTCCATGTGGGAGTTACTATCACTCTGTAGGGAAAACACTGAAATGCCAATGTTCATCATGATGGCCCCCATAGCCACAACCCGAAAGTCAGTACAAAAGTGCAGGCGGATGCATTGGCCCATGTCAACCAACTAGCTGTCTCTCCTGCATCTATACATCATGCAGGTCAATACTTTCCCTATAAAAGGTACTGTCTGGAAGCCATGCCCTCTAACCTTGAAGCTAGGTGAATGCCACATAAGGACCTGACAGGAGAGGGGCAGTGGCTAATTTCTCATAATGAGGTTTTCTCCCCTTTTTATCATCCCCCCACCCTGGATTGAAAAACCTCAGAGACTTTTTTTAAAAAAATCAGTGGAACTCTGAATCTTATACAGAAATGATATATGGTGGTTGCACCTAACAGGTGGTGATCCCTGCTTTTGGATATTCCAATCAAGCAGCACCCTGTGGTTCTTTGCAAAGCTAGTGAAGAATGACCTAAGGGGAAGGGGAAGGGGAAGGGGGGAGGAAGCATCCAGAGTACCTCACTCGCATGGCTGCTGGGCTGGGCCATTCTGGGGGTTGCCCTCCAAAAAGATCACTTTCCTAGCTCTGATTCCTTGCAGATGAATGTAAACAAGCCCTCAAATAATCCATGGAGGAATTTCCAAGGGCCTATTCCAGGGCCGTGTTTTCTGGACTGGATAAAAGCAGAGTCTTGCCCTTTCCGCTGCCTCTCATCAAGGGTTGCCTGATCAAGCTGAGAAGCCCTTGCAGGAGGCATTCCGTGTGTCTCCACTAGCATGTAGTTCACATGGAATGAAGGTCCAAGGGGCTACAAAGCTGTGTCTTTGTGAAGCATATATCATGTTCTCACTAGTTGTTCCACATGCTGCCTTTTACCTCTTAAGGCATTCATTTCTTCTGAGATGTCTGCTTAGCTATGAGTAAGGCCTGTCTTCCATAGGAGTAGACCTTCATAGGATTACCCTGTAAATGGCTTGTCTCAAGACTTGTCAGGCCACCTCAAACACAGATGTGGAGGCAGAGGTGGTTTGGATGGTCCAGGCTTCTTTCAGTCTGAGATCGCCTTCCATACGATCCTGGGTCCATAAAATGCGAGTATTTATTTGAAAACAATTGCAGACTTTGGAAGAAATACTTCCTGGGCATGACTTCCCAGATCTCCCGTGATGAGCAAGGCCACCTGCCCAAAACTGGAAACTGTAGTCTGAAAAGACACCTTTGCCCAAGAGGAAAGCTTGATTGATTTGGTTTGGCTAGACTGGGATATGAATGTTCCAAGTCAGCTGTTCCCCAGCCTTGAGTCCCCAGATGTTCGTGGACTACAACTCCCAGAAGCCTTCATCACCAGCGGTGCTGCCTAGGGTTTCTGGGATTTGTAGTCCAAGAACATCTGGGGACCCCACGTTGGGAACTGCTGTTCTAAGTATCTACAGAGTTGTTTATCTCATACATAGTCATGTGTTACTTGGAGTCATGGTATTTGGGGGAGTATTTCTTTAAAAAAATTAACTCTCAGAAGCGGGGATACTCCACCCATCCTTTTTTAGGCAGAGAGACAATGGGTGATGGTAGGGGGAGAGAGGGCAAGAGTGGACGAGTCGCCCAGGTAGGCGGGGTATAAATCAATCAATCAATCAATCAATCAATCAATCAATCAATCAATAAATAAATACTGTATTCTCCATTATTTTGGAGTCAAAGATATTTTTTAAGTCTGAAAAGAATCTATTATGTTTATTATTGGAAGTGTGTGATTCACTCCCTGGTGAACCCAGCTTTCCTCCCAGATGGTGGCAGCGGTGGCGGCTTCTTCTTCTTCTTTTTCTTCTTCTTCTTCTTCTTCTTCTTCTTCTTCTTCTTCTTCTTCTTCTTCTTCTTCTTCTTCTTCCCACCTCCCATTCTGCACTCCACTTTCTCTTCCAGTCCGATGGGGGAAGAGGGTCGGGAGGGTCCAGGTACCCAACCGCTGGGAGTATTCATTAACTTGGTGCATAGGAACAAGAGGCACTCTTGCTCACAGGGAAGGCATCCTGCCCCAAAGTCTATGTAAAGGTTCATTGTAAAAGGATTAAAAGTTAAAGACCCACGTCTTATGATTCTTTCATTTAATCTTAGTGGCGCCTGAAAGACATACTGGATGGATGATCACATTTAGAATATACTTTGGGTCAGATACCTCAGGACTTCAAGGAAGGGCAAAGAAGACTAATTTTAATTTCAGAAGCTGTTGAACAGGCGGTGCTCTTAGGTTATTGCTTTTGGGTCTGGGAAAGAGAACCATGCTTACAAAGGAACATTGGTAATACAAATACATATTTATTTGCTTTTTTTTCATGATGAACTCCTCAGAGGATTAGACACGAACATAATTTAATTCAGTCTGCTATGCATTAATTACCCAAATAAAACAGATCCGTTTCTTTACTGTTCTCTAAAGCAGCCAGCCTGTGGGGCCTTGGGGCCAGCTGCACACTCCCAAAAGAAGGGAAGGGTAAACTAATTCCATGTGTTCTCTACTGAGGAAACCCCAAAAAGGGTCTCCATTAGTCAGAATTGACTTGATGGCACATATCTAATATGATTAAAACAGTTGTGCTGCACGGAGGTTCCTGCATGTGGGTGATAATGGGGACCCATTAGCAGGTCTGGGGAATGTTTGGCCCTGCATATATCTTTTTGGACTTCAGTTCCCCAAGCGCCTCAGCCAGTGTTGGCCATGATAAAGGGAAGACAGATATGGCAGTTCAAAAGAGAAGGTCAAAGGTTCCCCACTCATAACTATAAAGTAGGCAGGGAAACTGCATTTTGAAAACAAGGCAAGATCTTCTCCTCTACCACCTCAA